CAAATCCACACATACTAACCTGTACCTTAACGCTGCATCCCACCACCACCCTTCCAACAAGCAAGCTGCACTTTCAACATTGGTGCACAGGGCTAGAGCACTGTGTGATCAAGACAGCCTACATGCGGAGTTGGTGCTCCTGAAGGATGTATTCAAGAAGAACGGATACAACAACCGGCAGATCCACAGAGTTCTCAACCATCAGCCCAACATCAGCCGGCCTGAAGACAAACCGGGCTCAGTCGCCTTCCTTCCCTATGTCGGGGCCATATTCAACCGTATCAGCAGAGTGCTGTCCCGACACAACATCAAAGCAGTGGGTCTGCCTCCATACAAATTATCCAATTTCCTCCGGCCGGTTAAAGACAGCCTGGGCCTAAGGACACCGGATGTATACAGTATCCCATGCGAGTGCAGGAAGGTCTATTGGGCAGACAGGCCGCTCCGTGGACATGAGGTTGAAGGAGCATCAGCGGCACATCCGTCTCGAACAACCGGACAAGTCGGCCGTAGCTGAACACAGCATTGATCTGGGACACTGCATTCAGCTTCAGGATACCTCCATCCTCGCCACCAAGACCCGTTATATGGATCGCATAATTAGGGAGGCAATTGAGATTGAACTGCATCCAGGAAATATGAACAGGGAGGGGGGGTTTTGTCTCAGCAAGTCTTGGAAACCTCTTATCTGTTCTCTTAGAAAACCCCCACCGGGATATGACGCCGGATCCAGAAGGCCACACAGGCCATGACCAACCAACATAACAACCACCCCCACCCCCCTCAGCTTACTGATTAGTGCCCAGCCTTTAACCTTGCCTTTCTCTCCCCTACACAAAAACACGCTTGTCCCAGCTCCCTTCCCCTACCCCTCCCACACTACTGCTTTCACTTGTATACTTGCCCTTCCCCCCTACCCTCTCTACTCTCACACAGCTGTGTATATTTCCACACAGTCTGCTTTTACCGGTTCTCACGATCTCTTCGCTTTGCAGATTTCTTATATTTTTTCTTCTACCCTGAAGATGGAGGCGATACGTTCCTCCGAAACGTCGGTTAAGACCACATATACACGGTGCCAAATGCCAGAAGACTGCTTTCTTCATAGTCACCGCCGTGAAAGCCTCAAATCTTACATTTATCATCTTATACGTCGTATTTCAAACTCTCGTATTATATCAATCTTCCGCAATGGGAGTCATTCTTCATATATTCTGTGTATATACTGCGTCTTGTGATGTGTCCTCCTCTTGTGGCTGCCTGTCTGGGAGTTGCAAGAGTGATGAGCGAACAGAAGGTACTGTGGAGCATTGAACAACGCATTGTGATCAAATTCCTTGTTGGAGAAAACTTCTCGTCTGCTGAAATTCACCACAGACTCCAACAACAGTATGGGGAAGAGTGTCTCTCACGGACCCGTGTGTTTGAGTGGTGTAAGTGCTTCAGAGAGGGCAGAGAGCGTGTGGAGAACGAACCGCATGATCGTCAGGCGCGAACATCCATCACCAAGCCAAACATTGATCGTGCAGACTCTCTTATTCTTGAGAATAGGCGCATCACTATCAGGGAACTTGGAGTAATGCTGTCCATCAGTGTTGGTAGTGTAGAAGACATCATGAAATACCACCTGCACTATCGCAAGGTGAATGCACGGTGGGTACCACGCACTTTGACAGACGTGAACATATGGTGCGCATGCAAGCTGCAAGTCTCATAAAGCAGTTTGAAGACAATGGTGATGCATTTTCGAAGTCTGTAGTGACCACCAATGAAACATGGGTGCACTACTANTGTCTGTTCTGATGCCCAAACTAAGCCCATATATGAACTCCATGCAAAAAGTGGCCCTTAATCTTATTTTAGAAGTTTTACACATAATTGGTACAGATGTACTTGTATAGAGGGCTAAATTAAGTGAACATAAAATGGCAGTATATTCAGAAATTATTATTAAAAGATTACGGTCATCTGAGTTTTAGTGCCAAGTTTCACTTTTCATAGATAACAAGTAAGGTCATATTCTTGTATATTTTAATCCATACTTTCTTTGGGTAACAGAATAGAAGAGAGAAGATTCTGAAATGAATTAGATATGCCCTTAATTCCTTCTTGAATACAATTTGTATTTGTTTTGCAAAATATTTATTTAACCTTTCCAACACTGTCAAAAAGTTTACTAGCTATCGTTTTCTTACAATTCTGCCCTGTATTTAAGGACAAGATATAAATATATACCATATTTANATCCATACTTTCTTTGGGGAACAGAATAGAAGAGAGAAGATTCTGAAAGGAATTATATATGCCCTTAATTCCTTCTTGAATACAATTTTCATTTGTTTTGCAAAATATTTATTTAACCTTTCCAACACCGTCAAAAAGTTTACTAGCTATCGTTTTCTTACAATTCTGCCCTGTATTTAAGGAAAAGATATAAATATATATTTAGTTGTATCGGTGTTCACTTCTAGACCAATTACTACCAAGAAAAATTGAATATTTATCAGGAAAGTTAATTTTTTGCAGTGATACACTTCTAAGAACATAGTTTACCTCACCTGATTGAGAGTCAGAATTTATGTTTTTTCCTTTCACTCTGAAGGAAGTAAAAAAATGTACAAATATATGATATATGTATACACCTGATGATGGCCATTTGCTGCTGAAAAATGTAGTGTAGAGGAGAGCATGACGAAAGACTGGTAATATATTGTTTTCACTTAGGACGGAGGTTATATCATATAACGTATAGAGTGCAACAGGATGCGTAAATATAATAATGTAGAAATAATTTATTCTGGGATGTTTTCATGATTACAAATGATTATTTTATAAGTACTGATGTTTGTAGAGATATTATGCTGGAGAAACATTTTCTCATAGACATGCACGTGGGATTATCTCTGGGCCCCCCCTGTCACTGTGGGACATAAATCTGGAGACCTGGTCCTCTGGGTTGGGTGTTAGACACAAGGCTGATTACCTTGCATTTTAAAAATTATTTTCGTGAAATTGATGAACTGAATCTGGATGCACCAATTTACAAGACAAATCTGGCATAATCTTCTAAGGAAGTGTGTCACTTGAAAGGGGCCGTTTTGCAAATGATGATGAAATTGTAACCATATACCTTTTTTTTCTCTGCCATACATAAACTAACAGCATCGCATATCTTCTAGCAGAGCAATTGAACATTTCATAATTATATATGACTGAATATTTAATCTCATTTCTGTTTTTGTATACCTGATGTGTGTCTGATGTAAGCTGAACTCTTGTTATTTATTAAGCAACGCTCTTATGCATCTGTGCAGAAAATGGGAATCTGTTGGGTGATAAGATAGATACCATAATGAGAAACACAAAGAAACTTTAATTGATGCTAATAAGGAAGTTGGTGTAGAAGTAAGCACAGAGAAAACTAAGTATATGTTTCTGTCTCATCACCAGAATGTAGGGCAAAATCATGACATAAAGATAACCAACAGATGCTTTGAAAATGTGGCATAATTCAGATATTTGGGAATGACAGTAAGGAATCAGATTTGATTCAGGAGGAAATTAAGAGGAAATTGAAATCAGTTGATGCTTGCTACCATTCAGTCCAGAACCTTCTGTCTTCTCATCTGCTGTTCCAAAAACATAAATATTAAAATATACAAAACTATAATTTTGCATTTGGTTCTGTATAGGTGTAAAACTTGGTCTCTCACAATAAGAGAGGAACCACAGAGTGAGGGTGTTTGTGAATATTTGGACCGAAGAGAGGTGAAGTGACAGGAGGTTGGAGAAAACTGTATAATGAGGAGCTTCATAATGTGGACTCTTCTCCAAGTATAATTAGAATGGTGAAGTCAAGGAGGATGAAACATGCAGGGCATGTAGCACGAAAGAGGGACAAATGCATATAGGATATTGGTAGGAAAGAGACCAGTAGGAAGACCAAGATGTAGGTGGGCGAACACTATGAAAATGGATCTTGGAGAGGTAGGATGGGCTGGTGTGGACT